CGAATTTTTTATTCTTTCATGAACACTATTTATGGAAGCTAGAAAACGCAACTGAGTAACCCAAATCTTTCGGCTGATGCCAGGTCAAGTCTACAAATAGCATAAAAAGTACTGAGCTTAGTCAAATACAAAAACATATGTTGAGCTTTCTTGTGAAAGGGGGTGTTTTTTTTTTGTATTTAAATAGCAATTCCTATCAGCAGAGTAACACGTGTCTCCAAAGATTGTTACATTTTCGATCAGTTGCAGGACATTTTGATGGCCGAATTGCATTTCCAATCTACCTTTTTTTTTCTTTTCTAAGTGAAGCAGAACTTGCCTTGCCTTAAAAGTCAATTGGGTGAATCAAGAACTTCACAAAACCTTTTATAGCATCAGGGTTATAAAGAACTGTTTAACTGAAAAGACTTCAACACAATTTCAAAGTTTGTCTTGTGAAAGGAAAAACATGCCTCCTTCTCAATCAAATATAACGATTCTGAGCAATTCATCTCATAAGTGACTTCAACACAAATTAAAGATGTGTTGTGGCTTACTGATTTTCTTCTTTTTTTTTTTTCCTTTATTTCTGGATGAAAAAATCCGGTCTTGAAGAACATACGCAGTTCGAAGATGAAAGCTGTTATTTAGGTCTTGTTTTTCACCAAACCATTTGATGTTTCATTAAAAAAAAAAAGTGCGCTTCTCTCACTGACGGAACATCTTGCTAAACAGGCACTTCCGTAACTTTGCATTCTTCATATACCAACCCCTACATGAAAACTATTATTTAATATAAAGATTTAACTAAAAGCAGCAAAATTTCAGAATCATAAACTACAATAGTATACCTACCATTGGTATAAATCTAATAAAATGTGACTCAATAACAAGGACGAAATAAAGTTTCGAATTGTGCTGTCTGCAAGAAGGCGTTTTCATCAAACTGGAAACTTCAAGTCGACATGAGAGGTGTATGCGGCAACCGATAAAAATTTTTCCACACGCAATGGCCAACTCGAAATTTAGGGTGGAAAAAGAGTGAATTGTATGGCGTGTACTACCCTCCTAAATACCTATATACCGCAGAAATTTAGTGACTGAAGACCAAAAAGTAGACCTTTCCACGGCATAGGGAACTTTTGAAACCTGAACGCAGTTTAAATGTTTATAATGCATTTTGCTTTGAAAGTCTGGCAAAGATTTTCACAGGGCAGAACGAGAGTAAAGTCTAGTTTCAGGAAATACGAAAACCGGGTCCCAATAAAGATAAAGGGCGATTTTTTAGCTGAAGAGACAACAAAGTTACAAAAGTGCCTATCATACCTCTAGGGAGAGAGAGAGAGAGAGAGAGAGAGAGAGA